GAGAGAGAGAGAGAGAGAGAGAGAGAGAGAGACGGCTGGATCGTTGGGGAAGATGAAGGAACAATTTAATTGAGGAGTGGTGGGGTCCACTGGAAGTTTGGTGTGTTATTAAATGTCTATTATACCCTTACTGTATGTAGAAAAGCTAATTGATTTTTTTACCATTAGATGATGAGATCTTGTGACTAATATTTATTCTTATTTCTTTCATTGAGTATCATTCTCACCGGAGTGCGACCCAATATATATACATATATTATTCAATTTGTACTACTTTTAAATTTTAATAAACTTTTTTATATATTAAATATAATTTTACTAAATAAAAAAATATTAGATACTATAATAAATAATATATTATAATTTTATTCATCATTTTTAAATATATATTATATATATTTAATAAATATATTGAAGGATGTTGATATTAAATAACTATATATTAGTTAAATATTTAATAAATAAATAGTATTTAACTATTTACTAAATAAATATTTAGCGTACTTAATTAAATTTTATTTGAATATTAAATAAATATTTACCAAATAAATAAATATATTAAATAATATAATAAATAATAATATTTACCAAATAAATAAATATATTAAATAGTCTGTAAGCCATGACTAGCGGATGAAGAAAGTCCTCAATCGACTTTCTGTAATCCAAGATGAGTTAAGAAGAGAATGAGGAACTCATTCGATGAAGTAAGAGCCCAAAGGGCAATTAGGCTTGCTTTAAGGGCTTGAAAAGCCCGATTCTTGCTTGTTTTAGCTCCTAATGGGGAGCTTTTTTGTCTTTAATAAATAAATAATCATTTACTAAATAAATACATAAATTAAATAATATAATATTTATTAAATAAATATCATAAATAATATGATTAAATTTTATATCTATACTAAAAAATATTTACTAAATAATAAAATTTATGAAATAATATATTAAATAATATAATTATTTGTTTTATGTATTAAACAAATATTGATCAAATAAATAAATATATTAAACAATATAAGAAATAAAAAAAATTACTAAATAAATAAATCTATCAAATAACATAATAAATAAATGTATTAAATAATATAATAAATAAATATACTAAATAATATAATAAGTAATAATATTTACCAAAAATAATTTAAATAATATAATGAATAAGTAAATATATAGTAAAATACATATATTAAATAAACTAATAAATAATATAATATATTAATTATGAACTAAAAATAATTAAAATTGATACATAAAAAATATTTTATATGATTTTATTTATACTCTTTATTTAATTATAGATTTATTGTATTTTTTATTATTTACTATATTTAGTATTTATTTACTATTTATTATTTTAATAAATAAATATTATTATAATATGTAATATTTTTAAAAGTACATATTATTATATTATTTAATATATTTAATTATTTATTATATATTTAATAATTTATTTATAGTATTTACTCATTAGTAAATATTTATTTAATATATTAATAAAATTAAATGAATTTAATAATATATGCATAATTTTTTATTATTAAAAGTAGTACAAATTGGATAATATATATATATATTAGATAAAAACTATGTTGGTAGATATATAATTGAAGCTAAATAATTTACATAATGGGTGCTAGCTCAAGTGGTTCATGAGCTCTTTTTATGCCCCATTGGACCTGGGTTCGAATACCCTTCTTAGCACATTTTTTGTAACTATTCCACATAAGCGCCACGTGGCATTACAACTAACCAAAAAAAAAAATGGGTGAATTTCCACGTAGCTCAGTCGGTCACAATGACTTGATATAGGCGATCAGAGGACCAAAAAGCTAATTTTTTTTTTTCAGTTAGGGGACTATTTCCAAAAACAGTCCATTTACGGGACCAAATTGAGAACGACCTGCAGATAAAGGACCAAAAAACATTTTTTTTTCCATTTTTTCGCATCACTATATTAACTTTTTTTTTTTCAAACCACCATCTAAACTATACGATTTTGTCTAATTGCCCCCAAAGCCAGAAATAAAAGTGGTTTTGATTAAAAATAGCTGATTTTTTACGGCATTCTCGTAATTTCATAATATTTTTCAAAAAGGAAAAGAAAAATGAACGGCAAAAAAATGGGTCTCTCGCACTAGGAACGGGAAACGAAAAATGGGTCTCCAAAAAGAAGTCAGTGACTGAATAGGAATTCATTTTTATTCTTCACGTCTCAGCCAACTATCTCACCAAGAACGGAAAAAAAAGGGCTAATGAAAAAAATAAAAATAAAAAATGAACAGTCAGGTTCAGCGAGAGAAAATGGTTGAATGCGAGGAGAAAAAATATGGCCGGCACCCCGCTCGCAGCCTCAGCCCACAAACATCTCGCACAGCTATCTCCGGCGCCCGATTAGGTAGCAGTGGTTCGGCGTGCAGCGCGCTAGCCGTCAACTAGCCCATCGTCCATTCAGTAGCCCAGCTATACGCAACCGCAGCTACCTTCGGGCATGCTTGGGACAAAATCCGACGTTTACTCGATCGGGGCCATGTTGCTGCAAATCCTCACGGCCCAGCCAGCCAAGGGCCTCTCGCACCATGTTGAGATTGCTGCAGATGTGCTCGACTGCATGGTTGGGGACTAACTAGTCGAGGAGACCCTCTCACTGGCCAAACTGGTTAAAGTGTTGTGAACTGAGGAAGGACATGCCCGATCTTGACTCATGATCCTAACCGCAAGCTCGAGAGGCTGAGGGATGTGGGATTGGAAGTGTCGCGTGGGGTGAGCTTTTTCTATGAACACTCGCATGGTGATTGGAAGTCTCACGAACGCAGTTGAGTCAAACGGGTCGACTGGCTCCTCCCTGACAAGGCCCGCTACGGAGCCCACGACGAGCCCTACGCGTAGTTCTCGTCGCACATGTCGATTTCTACTGCGAACAGGAGGCACCACCGACGGGTCTGGTGGCGTAGCTGAGCATGTCTCCGACGACCATGAAGAAGGCAAAGTATGCTCTCGTGCGTAGATGAATGCTCCGAGCGTAGATGAATGCCCCGTACGTTTCGACGGTCGCACTCGATGCTCTCTGCCGGTGGTCTACTGCGTGGGGCTAGCCGGCGGTCGGCGGCTACACTTGGAGAAACTTCATTTTTCTTTTCTTTTTTTCTTTTTTTGTGTAAACCAACTTCTTCATTCTTTTCGTTTTTTTATATTATGAAATTACAAATATATCCTTACAAATCAGCTTTTTTTTAGTCAAAACCATTTTTATATCCGGTTTAGGGGGACAATTTGACAAACCCTTATAGTTTAGATGGTGGTTAGTAAATAAAAAAAAGTTCATATAGTGATGCACCAAAATCGTGATATTTCATATGGGAAAAGGTTTTTTACCCTAACTTAAAACTCAATATAAAGTACAAATTGTAAGCTGACACTAGGGAAATAGAACAAATTCTGGACCAACCCCCTTGAATCGACATAGGCGTTCAAGGGGTTGAAACTCCTTCAAGGATGGCGAAAGAAACCACAATACGAACTCTAAAAAGAAGACACAAACTCCATGACGAATACAAGACACTAGAGGAATTTGGACAAAACACAAAGCAAAAAATGCATACATAATAAACAAATAAAATAAAACATCCCCTAATCCTAGCAGGCAAGCTAAACGACCACCTAACCGACCTTCGAGACCCTATACTGCAGCTAAAGGAACAACAAAGCCACAAATCTAAAACTCTGACTCAAAAACTGCGGATGAACCCGCCTAGACAGATCCGGTGAGGAGGTCGTTCTCGCTCAAGATCTGGGCTCCAAGAGTCTTCAGGGTCAGAGAAGAAATGAGGAGTCACCACGAACACACCGGAGGGCTCGAAATCAAGACCCGAGAAAGGACCAGCCATGCTTCAACCTGTCGAGTGCTGGCGGCCCGGCCAAATGACGGATGGTCAGACCGCGGTCTTCTTGAACAATTCTAAATAGAGTCGAGCATCCTCGACCTTCCATCGGGCTGAAAAGAGAAGCGCACGAGCACGGACTCCCGCGGCCTGGCAGAGCCCAACGGCTGGAGCCGGAGAAACAACACACGTCACCACCTCCGCGATAGAGAATAGAACCGGACGATAAGACCCGCCGTCGAATGGGTCTCCCTCCAAGCGCCGGTGGGGCAAATGAAAGGCTCCAATCGCGCCTCGGTCAGTCCGGTTGGACTAGCGCTGTCACCCGCCGGCGGAGAATGGGGGGCAGCAGCTCCGATAAAAAATAGATCTGGTTTTAGAGAGAGAAG